TTATGGTATTTATTTTCCTCTTTTTCTCTCTCTCCTGTGCATGGGGTTAGTATAATTTATAAATGTTCTTAACTAATCGTATACATTTTGTAATCCTAACTACTCTTTTCTAAGTTCTCGTCTTTTATTCTTAATTTTAGTTGTTATAATAATGAGGTGTTATTGAATAAGTGATTATAATGTATTTGAGTTCAGTTGTATCCTAACCGATTTTGATGGATCCACTATTTTTAACGTGGGATTTGTTGGAATACCTCAAAATACCAATGAAAATCTTTGTATTTGTTTTACTTTTTTTTTAGTTAAAAGAATACATTAAAATCCATTGTAATCAAAATCTAACAAAATCAAATAGATATTGAATAACATGTGTTTTTAATGTATTTTAGAATACAATAACAAATATTTTAATCCAATAACACTGGATTTTAATGTATTTCGTCAAATACACAATTGAATAACATTATTTTTGCTCTGATCTTAAAATACATTAAAATCCCCAATTCAATAACACCTCCTAAGTTCTCAGGTCTTATATTCTTAATTTTCGTTGTTATATTAAGTTCTCATGTCTTGCATATAATCATTAATTTCTGGAGTATTGATCAAAAACACAATATTCTGTATTTTTGAAATTAAAAAGTCTCTTGCTTATAGGATGTAGACGGTCGTTTACTTGCATTCATGTGTGGAGTATTTTATGCATGATCTCTGAAATACAAAATGTTCCATGTCTTTAAAAAAACAACTATTCACTTCATTTCTCTAATAAGATGTTTTACAAATATTCTTTTGTTTGGTTATCAAAAACAAAAAAAAAAATATATATATATATTCTTTTGTTTTATTTTATAAGATATCTTAAGTTTCTATACAAATTATAAATTGATTTGATAATTTGTGATCATTTATATTTTGTAGTCTTTTTCATGACTGATTGATGTTTTTCAATTAAATATTTTTTAATATGCATGATCTTAACTGAAGCATCTTATGTTTTAAAACAGAGAGCATTTTTTTTATAAATAAGATTTTAATAGTACTGATATATTA